ATTTTATGTACAATTACGTATATTTTTAGTACAATAAAGACCTTCGGACAGTAAGGTGCCTTACATATTTTGCATCAACCTACCTCAACCGAACGGTGCACTCAGGGAAACATACAATTCCCATCAACTTACATTCTACATTACATACGTTGGGCACGAGCCCCAACGTATTTATTATCAAAGATAAACGATATTACAGCTAATAATTCAATACGTAGACAGTCTATGTATTACGAGGCATTACTTTAAAATATCCATAATAATAAGTACCATCAATATTTTATTAATAAAATGTTGCTAAAAGTCTCACTCAATTATATTTATTTTTCATCTGTAAAAAATAAATTGATACTAAATTTATTTCTCTATGAAAAGTAATACCTGAGCCATAACTGATACAAACAACTAAATTATCTTGAAAGATTTTCCTCGACACGTTGCATGGGAACACCGATAAAAAAATCTCAAAAGATATGTACAAGAACAATCCCAATTATAAGTGAACATCTGTGCATGAAACACTAAAAACGAGAAATGCCATGTACTTCGAGGCAAAAAAATACTGATTTAGAAATAAATCGTTCTCGCTTCTTGACGTAACACCTATGTACAATACAATATCACACGTTGAAATCGATGTCACTAAGCGAAAATGTCAACCTTTGGGAAAAGGTGATTAAAGTTTCTGAAATTAAGTTAAAATTTGAACAAAGCGCTAGTTTCGTTTAATGACAGTGTTGTTTTCGATGTGCGGTATACAGGCGAAAGACGTATTGTGTCCATCAGTAGAGTATTATAGTCGGAGATTTAAGTAGCAGTAGAGCTCCTTGTGAAAGAGTTCGTCCTGGGAAGTATTGCTACCTTACCTATTACTGCCGACAATCAATAATTTAAACATTACTGCGTTTCGGTTTTGAAGGGAAAGGGTGCTGGTATAGTTACAGGCACACGGGGCTTACTTAATTAATTACATCTCAGGGTGATGAGCGCGGTGGCAGTGCCCCTCATATTTTTGCGATTTAAATCTCTGAGTAGCAATGCAACTGTTATGGACAGGCGCGTCGCTTACCACCAGGGGCACGACTTTTTCGTCCCGCCGCTTGGTATCATAAAAAAATATAGTCAAGTGCGCAGTTATATGTAATAAAATTTGTAGTAGGTTTTGCATTGTCTTTTCTGTAGGTAAATTTTAAAAAATAAAGGTATTTTTTAAATACTCGGATTAACCAAAATTGTTGTCTTTGACGTAAGATTTAAGGATTGTACAGAGCCGCTATGTGACCTCTTTAGTTCCGTAACACAACCAGTGGTAAGAAGACCCTTGCACTCCTTATCGTGACAGTCAAAAGGAACTTTTTCATTTTTCCTTTGTTCCCACTTTTGCAGGATGTTTTTTGCACCGCGTGTGTCTCTAAGGGCGTCAAGGAACTGAGTTTAATAATAGGAGACTGCTTTAGATTGTTATTGATGATGATGGCAGATATTGAACGTGAAGGCACTGCAGGATGGGCCGTTGTTGGGTTTCAGGACGGGTAGTAAATGGATTGGATGCATTTATAGCACCGGGTCATAGTGATGCACTGGTCTAAGCAAACAAAATAATACACTATAATGAGTTCATAGTAGTACCTTTATGTGCTACTGTCTCTGTCTGTTTGTCCAGATTGTTTAATGAATTTGTATTGAGGTTTTTCTGTATCTGTTACTTTTTTCACTTTTTTTCTGTTTTGCACGCTATTGCCCGCACTTTTGGTCACGTTGCACGTAGAGATGCTGACCATCTGGAATGTTTGAAGGTGAGAGGGAAGATGAAAGGAAAAAGACTTAGAGGCAGGAGTCCCAAATTATGGTCAGATCAGATTTCCGAACAACTGGAGCTACCTATCAGCGCCGCACTCCACCAGGTACTGAGCTCAACCGATGGAGACAGATAATTGGCAGGACGAAGTGGAGTCACGATTATCAGCAGCGAGGAAGTGATTAAGAAGAACATGCCAGCTTATGATCTTTGTTCTGCCTTGGGTTGGCTGGAAGATATTTTTATTAGAGATAAGTTCAGCTTGTTCGCCTTTTATACAATTAACATTTCTTTTGTATTCGTTTGGTACAAAAAAGAATAACGTGTTACTAGTAATAACCCGTTTGCCAGAATAATGTATTATTTATATATGTCGATGTATTAGAGATACCACGGCAAACGAGCGATATATGATGAGATGATTTGCATACCATGAAATTTTAATTCGAACGGAGACAAAATTATCCTCAATCCGTAGACAGATTATGTCTTGTCTGATACTGTTTCTTATCCATTGTAAGGCGCCAACATAGTGGAAACGTCACGTGATTTAGAGGACAAAAATGTTATTTTCGTTACGGGGCCGTGTGTGAATGTTACTTGTGGGTTGGCGTGACATATTTTTCTAGTGTCGAGGATGACAAATGTGAAGATAAATCACACAGAAAGCGGGCTTTTCTTTCAAAAGTTTTTATTTCTACGTTCGGTGGGAGTTTTTTCTGTTCACGACAAACGGTCTCATTTATTTTAGTGTTTGGTATTCGGATTTTTTCGAAGACTTTGAGCGTGATTCCCACCGGGAAACCTTCTGAGTCTTCTCAAACCACAGGCAGTTTAGTTTGAAGAAACACTTAACGCCTCAAAAACGTGGTAAACAAAAAAGCTTTTTCATCACCCCTACTCATCAGTGGAAAGTGTATGGGTTGGTGATTTTTCGGAATTTTGGATGTTTTTCCGAGTGAGAGATATATTATATTATATCTTCAGTAAATCATAAATCACACATGAACATGTTGAAATAATGGTCATTTACATTAAACCGACGACAAGAGCAAGAGCATCGGACTTGAATTCGCATCGTTGGTATAATAAGGTCACATTTTCTAAATGGAAACTTTTCAGAAGAGGCTTAAGATTGTATAAAGAATATTGGATGATAAGTTTTTTGTGCTTACAGGAGTGTAGTAAAATTTCACGTATACATACATAATTTGCTTAACGTGATTCATATTATTTTAATGACTATCATGCGATAAAAGTGCTTTGGCTATACAGCCAAAAGAAAAGATTATACAATATTAGGGATACGAATTACAGAAGAAAAATTCGGGTTTTATTTTATGTCTACTAGTAAAATATACTAATTATCATTCTGCACTTGTAGACAAAAGTGATGAAAAGGGGATTTAGAACGTTAATTTCCGCCGGCGACGACTGTAAGCGCTGCAAATGCTATTTCGGCGCTCTACCACGAATACAATAATTGAAACAATTTGTTCCATTAGGTCGTTGGATTTATGTATAAGGATTTATTTAGAATCTATTTTGATTTCTTAAAAGGCATTTGTCAAATACGAGTAAATGGACTTGCTTTTAACCACTACCTAGCCCTGGAGCAAAAATAGGGTCTACAGTGGAACGAGCTCGCCCAGAAAACGCCTATTCAGTCGCATCTTAAATATACTCGGGCTGGATGTGCTCGAAAACACAGTCGCAGGCAGGGAATTGCATTCCTGGGTTATGCGCATGATATAGGTTGACGATAAGTGCTTTAGTACGCCTGAAGGCAATATCGACCAAGTAAGTAGCAGTAGAGTTCCTTGTAAAAAAGTTCGGCCAGGGTAGTACTGCCACCGTACCTATATCTGCCGCCAAGCAGTAATGTCAGCATTACTGTGTTCCGGTTTTGAAGGGTAAGGGTGCTGGTGAAATTGCAGGCATATGGAACTAGTCAACTTATGTCTATCGGTGACGGGCGCAGTGGCAGTGGCCCCTCAGACCATTGCGATTTAAGGCTCTGAGTGGCACTGCAACTGTTTTGGACAAGCGTGTAGTTTACCATCAGACGCACGAATTATTCGTCCCGTCGTTTCATGTTATTAAAGAAAAATGGTATCGCGCCGAATGTTTGGATGTCCACAGTAAAACGAAAGTGGGATGAGCTGATGGAGCTCATGGACGCACTCACAAATGCACACAAAGTAACAATAAAACAGGATACAAGAGACAGCCTTGTGGTCGTACATAGTGTTTAAAAAGGCTATGGTAAAAGTGCATTTCTATCATCAGATCAACTATAGCTTATCTTAATATATTGCATTCATTGGAATTACACTTGCGTACCAAGTTTTATCAAATCGGAAAGTGGGACAAATTCAATATAAACGGATTTCCCATCCTTAGAGGTAGAATATTTTGTTCAGTTTGAATGGGAGCATCACTGAAGTACCTCTTTTCCAGCAAAAAAAAAGAATAATAGCAACCGGTTTACAAAAGTCGAAGTAATTGCGTAACATACACGCAAAAAAGTCGAATCGACAATCTCTGTCTTTTTCGAAATTGATTAATAATAAAATAATGTGCATAATTTCATCCGTATGTCATATATTACTAATAACTTTCATTGTTCAAAGTACTTCGTTTATTGAAACTCATTTCATTATGAAAGCAGAAAAGAAAAATAGTCTTAATTTTATGCCAAACAAGTAGTCATTTGAAAACGCCCAAGTCCAGAGGTGTTGATAGAAAGACCCAAACATGTGCGCTCTCTTGCTTTTACGAGCTTTATGAATTGACATGAGCTGCAGCTAGACCACTTTGAATAACGTAATCAATTTATTAAATTTTCATATCTAATTTTAATTTTGTAAAAAAAATATTTCATGTCAACATTCTGGTCTTTTATGGACTACCATTGGCCACAATGGCCATGTTGTTCAGCTATAAATACTCTTTTGTAGAATGTATCATGGTATTGTTGTTTTTATTGACAGTCTACGGACAGATAAAACGGTGAAATTCGACATTGTCAAAAAGAACGTCTAGTGGCCGCCATTAAAGAAATAATAATAATAATACATAGAACGTGGCTGCGATCAAGTGATTAAGGAATTAGCTGTAATTTATCAGTTTTTGATAGCGAATGGTTTTTGTTTGTTCAGTGAATTAATATAACATAAGAAATTTTAAGAAGATTCGAACAATGGGGAAAGCATTATTCAGAAATTCGTGTCAAAGGGGTTTATTAACTATTTTTAGCAGTACCGGCTCGAAACCTTTGAGTCTGTGGGATGTACACATGCAAAACGGATACTATAAACAGTATATGGACCCACAGATAAAATCCATGGTCTTTGAAATAGGAGGAACAAACGTCAGTACTGCGTACATAACATGCCCTAAAGACAGAAATGTGTTAGGAATCGTCATGCCTTACCTTGTCATGGTCGTAAAAAACATACACAAGTACTGGAGCTTTGAAATCACAATTCTGGACGACCAGAACTTCAGGCGAAGATTCAGAGCGTCCAACTTTCAAAGTACTACGCAAATAAATCAAATGAGCACCGCCATGCCTATCTGTTTAGCTGAGGGTTGGAACCAAATTCAATTCAATTTGGCCGACTTCACTTACCGTGCTTACGCTAAGCGTTTTTGTGAAGTCCTAACGGTAAAAGTCAACGCCAATATCTGTATAAGGAGAATTTATTTCGCCGAAAGACTTATGCCAGATCATGAGTTGCCTAAGGAGTATAAACTGTTTCTGCCTTTATCTGGGAAGCCGAGGAAAAGGAATGGCGCTGATGAGGTAAAAGTTATGCCTAGACCGTCTAGGGATACAATTGCCAATGAACCCCAAGAAATAATGAAAAAAGCTAGCGAAGTCATCAGTGAATTTCAAGAAACAAAGGAAAAACCAAGTGAGATTACCAATGAAACCCAAGAAACAACAGAAAACGCCGGTGAGATTACCAATGAACCCCAAGAAACAATGAAAAAAGCTAGTGATACCAAGTTGGAGGAAGTAAAAGAAGCTTCTAAAGGATCCATGACTTCCAATGTGTCTAAGGCATCTATAACGCAAACAGAAGTAACATCTAAACATTCTGGTACGGAAACTGTGGAAATAGCACCGGCAGAGACAGGAGTGAATGATGAAAAGGACCCTGAAGGAACTGCAGAGCGAGAATCACTAAAATCCAATACAGGGAGTAAATCGTCACCACCTAGACGCCTGGAAGATGTTCCAGAGGAAGACGAACGTGCATTAGTAGAATAAAACTTAATGCGTTTAAGCCAATTCATATTAATTATTCATATTATTGCATAGTTTAATTTTCTAGATTATTTATTTATAAGTTACAAAAGTAACGGGCGATAAGGTACTCGTCAATATTTATGTTTCCTAATTTCAATTTAATTTTAATATTTGATGCCCTTTTGTTCAAACCTAGTTCAATAGTAACTAGGCTGGAGTTTGACTATTGAACATCTACTAGCCTCTTCGTGATAGCGGAATTCTTTCTTGCAATTTCGTCGCACAGTCTCCGTTGTCTTCAAAGAAGGACAAAAAAGTAATAGAAGAGAACATAGTTTCGATCGTTTCGTTGACGTATCGTCGAATGCTTGAATTTTTTACAACTGTGCCAGCTATTTCATACGAACAAATATGTATCTCTTACGTATTATATTATTACAATTAAGGATGATCTTACTGTAATTTGCAATTTGTTGTTTACCTATTATATGCTCCCGGACACATAATTCGAGCCATCTCTCATTTTTGTTGTACAGGGCTAGAATACAAAAATAGTGTTAACATCGAACAAAAAGTTTTCCTCTGCTTTTGCAAATCCAAATTCCTAAATTTGGAAAAGACAAACGTCTTTTCCAAATTTGGGAATTTGGAAAAGACGTTTAGTATACTAGTTTCAAAATTGCATGATAGTTTTTTATCAATCAAACATTGTTTAAGCTTAGGGCACTTAATACTAAAGATGCGTAGTGGCTCGAATTGTGTCCAGAAGTGTATATACATGAGAGTCCGAATGGCGGGAGTATCTTAACGAATCTTGACAAATAAATGTAACTAAAAAAATGAAACTAAATTGTAGTATTTAGTACCTGTGCTCAAAATAATTGTACCTCCATTAGAACGAAGTTATAGCAATACCAAAGGTACACCAACCATGTTGACAGTCAATATGGCGGGTGTACCTCAAATTACCAGATTTTATTTAATAACTATAAAAACCATAATAAATACCATAAAAGGACTCTAAATTGAAAGAAACGCCAGCTCGGCATGCTGATTAGTTTCAGAGAGAGTAATTTTTTTGACTCATGTCACATGACCCATGTCACATGACCCATACTATATATACCATACAGACTAACATACATACAATATAATAATAAACTAAATAACTAATCTACATGAATGTAATAAACTATATACGTACACGCGTTTGTCACCCTTTCCATCAAAATCAGGAAAAATACTGACTGATATATGAAGAGGTTGTAAAGTTTTTTTAAAATTGTAAGGAACCCTTGCCTACCCGAATAAAAGGCGGGAAGTTTATCAAAAAAATATTACGACTTTATTTACAATTTTGATTTCGCTATAATTTCGTTCTGATAGAGGTTCAATTTTTTTTGTATGCACAGCTGCTAAATAATACAATTTAGGTACATTTTTTTGGTACTAAATTTGTCATGATTCGTTACGATACACCCGCCATTCTGACTCTCACTAAATATATTTAAAGATATATATAATTATTAATTTATTTTTGTCATTAAAACCGGTATTATGCTTAAATATTAAACCTATGTACATCGTATTGCTCACTTTTAAGTTCTACTGATGATTAATATTTTAAACCGACTTCAAAAAAGGTTCTCAATTCGACTGTATTCGTTTTAGTCGTTTATGATTCCTTTTTGCTGGAAAGAGAGTACCTCCGTATTGGTCCCATTTAAATTTGAAGAACATATTCCACCTCTAAGGATGGCAAACCAGGGGATAAATCAATCCGGTTTCGCGCACTTTCCCATAACCGATTTCAATAAAACTTGGCAAAGAGATGTAATTCCGATAAACAGACTTTTGAAGTCGGTTTTTTTAATAAAAAAGTTAAGATTATGTAGTATGTACACTAAATTAACGTATATCCAATTGTTTGGTCACCTCAGCCTCACGTACGCCGACTTGTGCATGCGTGACGTTGAACGCGCACGAGAAACACTATCATTCATATATATTTTTTATACCTTGGGCGCTACATGAGGAGGTACTGGATTCAAGTCATTTCTCAACTGATATTGGTTTGAGTTATCTGGGTAGTGCAATTGGAATTATTACCTCTATTAATTGTAGTCTTTAGGAAATAGCACAGGAAATACCTGACTTTAAGTTCTTTGTACCGATATGTATGTCGTTCCTATTAGACTTGTATGAGGTCAGAGCTTGCACATAGGTCCAACAAACAGACCTATCGACATACGTCAGTAAATAATTCACTGATATTATTGCGTCTTGTTAAAACAATATTTTTGGGGAAAATCAAGATGGTTTTACAAGAGGTTTCATAACGATCGTAAGTAAAAAGGTCGTAAGTAAAAAGTTACACTGGCCGAAAATATTTACTGATTGAAATGTCACGTTTCTTTTTATTTGGCATGTTTTGACAACATACTAAGAGGAGGCCCGTGAAGTTTTAATAATAATAACTAATAGTTTTTCTTTATTCATAAAATATTTACTATGTTTAAAAATACGTATCAAAGTGGACTATTGTCTGTATTTTATAGCTGCGGATCTAATCCTTTGTCGATATGGGAATCTGAGGTGCACAATGGTCATATTAAACGTCTTACGGACAATGAGGTGAATTCGATAGTCTTAGAAATTGTGAGCACAAACGTTGCTACCACCTATATAACATGTCCAAAAAATAATCAAATTCTAGGAATAAAACTACCCTTCCTTGTCATGATCGTTAAAAACCTCAAGAGATACTTCTCATTCGAGATAACAATCTTAGATGATAAGGGAATGCGGAGACGTTTCAGGATATCCAACTTTCAGTCTACAACGAAGATCAAACCTTTTTGCACGACGATGCCAATTGGGTTGTCGGGAGGCTGGAATCAAATACAATTTAACTTATCTGACTTCACAAAGAGAGCATATGGAACTCAGTTCTTGGAAACTCTTCGTATTCAGGTACACGCAAACGTGCGCGTACGCAGAATATATTTCGCCGACCGTTTGTATACCGAAGAAGAACTGCCACAAGATTACAAATTGTACCTTCCAATGGAGAGAAAAAAGAAGAAGGAGGAGAAGAAGGAAGAAGCGAAACATTCTGAAGCAGCAGCTCCGCCGCCACCACCTCAGACGGCTCCGCCTACTGAAGAGTTGCCTCCGATTGAAACTCAAGCACGGCCAAGCTTAGTGTCAAGAAAGAGTATACTTGAAGAAGCGCCGCAAGCGGAAACAACAGAAGTGCCGCCTGCAGTAGGTGAAGTTGCAGCACTTGTAGAAGGTGAAGGAGCTGTAGTCGAAACGCCCACCGCAGAAGAAGCGCCAGCTGAGGTGCCAGCAGAAGGAGGTGAAACCCCAGGTGAATCGCTAGCTGAAGGGAATGTAACACCAGTTGAAGCCTCAACTGAAGCCCCTGCAGAGGCACCACCCGCGGAAGAGGCCCCATCTGAATCTACAGCAGAACCGCCACCTGATGCCCCCGCGGAATAATCGAGCCAAAGTTAGTTTTGAACTGTCTGTATTTTTATTGTACCTGTAGTGCTATCATTGGGAATATATATTCGTTTGTAATTAAACGTTTGTAAAGTGTTTTCGTCGTTGATACTGAACTTTTACTTACAAGCTTTTGGTAATTGTATGCAATAAGGCTATAGTTTACGTACGTTTGACATTGACGGCAAGATAAAATCTTTAGACGGGTATTGAGCAGACATACGACAAGATATCAAAGACGTCCCTAATATTTTCGGCCAGGTGGTAAAAGTATCAATTAAAAAAAACTTGTTTTTCTTTCAACATCTGTTTCAACTTTATAGTTACGTTGTTATAGACCTATTTTTGTTTATCGTCGTTTTATTAGTTGAAATTATTGACGGGAGTACGAACGAATGTAGAACTAAATCGTATATGTTGTTAGAATTTCTTGTACTGGTATTTCAAAAGTTTTGGTTTGAGTTTGGGCTTTTTGGAAACGTAATTGAAATTAAATAAATCCTCATGACTTTTTAAACATTCAATAGATTTATCCAACGATACCCGTATAATATACTATGCTGTATATTAGTGTGTAAGAAAAAAATATTTTTGGTTGTCCCCAAAAAAGTTTTTTTTGTATTAATTTCGTTTTAATTAATGCAAAAAAGTGCTGACTCACGGACAGATGAACAAACATAAGGAATGTGACCCTAGTTTGGCGTACAGTCACAGATTCGAGTTCTGACAGATCGAAAGAATTTGGCGATATGTTTGATATTTGTATTAATAATTATAACAAACAAATATCATGATACAGAGAACTGCCTCTCTGAAGCGCCGTGTACGTGGTGGTTCCAACAGCCTTTTGAATTTAATTTGGGAGTATCTAATATTAGTAATATTGGAAGCACTGTAACTCAGTGCACATGAGTTCTAGGGGCTTAGTTTATAATTTGACGTAGTTTTTATGTTTATTTTTTATGTATTTAATAATTATTTCCCGTACTAACATAGCCAATAGTTAAGGAATATTTCCTTAACTACTAATTCCGGTTTTTTCGCTCCATTGCCTTAATTTTATTTCCGTTTGCTTAATGGTATAATCTTCCTCTGTAAATTTATTTCTTCTTATTACGATTTCTAATTTATTTTATTGTCCTACAATAAGTATATAAGTAACATTATTATTATATATCAATATTTATGTATACGTTCTAATAATAGTTATCATTATTATTTATATATTTACTTTATTAGTAAGTATATTCTTTGGTTGCACCCCCTTTCCAACTCTTAAATTTCTATCCTAAGGTTGTCTGGAAGAAATTGCTGCTAGCATTAAGGCCGCCTGTTGTACATTGGCTTTTTCTGTGATACTTACATTACTGTTATGCTGCGAAAGTACGGGTTGAGTGAGAAGTTTCGTAAGTTTCTCTTAGGTGTCAAAAGTTACAGCGATGTTACAGCGATAAAAGCTGAAAAAACCTAATACAAATTTGTGACAAACACGGAGTAAATTCTAAGGTCTGTTG